ATTTGACAATAAATTTCATATATTAAAAAAAAAATTAAAAAAAAGAGTCTTGAGAAAGAATTCAAACCAACAAATCATTGGATATCTACAATCATCAAGGAGCTGTGGAGGACTGGGAATGAGATAAATACACTGAACAAGTGAGTTTCTATAAAATTAGTGCAAGAAATGAACATTTTTTCTGTTACTCTATTCTTTCATCTGTTATTTGGAGACTTGTGTTTCTGATGGATTCCAGTGCAACAATTTTGTTTCATCTATAGTGAAACAAATATTTACATTGTATACAAATTAATGCATGAGGAATAAGGAGAAAGTATCCAAATGTTGAATGTTTAGCTAAGATATATTGGAGGAAAGTTTAGTACAAAAGCCATTTTACATTTGGAACCCATTTACCAATAATGCTAACAGCTAAGAAAGTATTTACACTCCTTTTCTTTTTTTTTTTTTTTTTTTAAATTTTTTTTTTAAATTTTTTTTTTCAACGTTTTTTATTTATTTTTGGGACAGAGAGAGACAGAGCATGAACGGGGGAGGGGCAGAGAGAGAGGGAGACACAGAATCGGAAACAGGCTCCAGGCTCCGAGCCATCAGCCCAGAGCCTGACGCGGGGCTCGAACTCACGGACCGCGAGATCGTGACCTGGCTGAAGTCGGCCGCTTAACCGACTGCACCACCCAGGCGCCCCTACACTCCTTTTCTAAACCAAATATCTAGCACTTACTTGCTAGGGTGGTATGTCAGTTCATTTGGCTTAGACATAACTGCAAAGTAGGAAAGTACTAAAAGCTTCAGGATAACAAAAGAACAAATGGGAAATGGCTAGATGCAGCCAGTCCAACTGTGAAAGTGTTTGCTTAATGGAATAAATGTGTGTCTAAAACTAATGTGTACTAACATGGTCCAATTCCTCAGTCTTTGAGGTGATTATAGTTCACCCACTGACATTTTTTCTTGAGTAAAACTCAGTTTCTTACATTGCAGGTTTCAGTGTAAACATCATTTCTGAAATGTTTCCAAATCAAATCAATGTCATTACCATCTCTTCATGCATCATTACTTTAGTCCCAGTTCTAAAGAGGGAGACCATTTGGCTGCTGTTGCCATTTAGATTCAAATAAAGTACTGTTAAATTTGTCCTTTCACTCCTTACATCCAGCAGCACAAAATATGTAGTACTGCCATCGCTGATTAATTATTTCTACCATTATGTGTTTCTTCTGCCTTTTTTTTCAAAGAGTACCAATTATTTGTATTTAATAACAAAATTACTTTTATTACATGATTAAAGTGGTTTTTACTAAGTAATTTAGCAATAACTAAGCATGAGAGTCCTATATTACCACAACAAAAAGATAGTGTAGAATCAAGTAACATTCATGGTGTACTATAAAATCATGTTCGTCCTGACATTTGTTCCTTTATTGCTTTCTTCCTCTTCAACTTCCTATATTGCCCTAGAGGCCTTCTGTACTCCAGTGTTTACAAGTGGCCCAGAGAAAAATGGGTTCAACCTTGGCTTCATCAAAAATATCCAGCAGGTGTTTGGAGATAACAAGAAGTTCTGGTTAATACCTATTGGGTCCAGGTAAGTAATTATTACCACTAAAAGAAGCTGAGGCTGAACCATGCCTTGAAGTAACAAATTCAATTTTAATTGTGGTATGCAATCAGTCATAAGTCCAATGAAAAATCTATTCCCCAAGTTTTTTATTCCTAGATTAGTAAAGAGAAATTAGGAAGTGAAGGTATGATAAATAGACGTTCTCATGTTTTGAAGTAGTGTAAACTGATACCACTCCTTTATAAATGAATTTGGTGATATATATCAAAAATCACAAGAATCCCCATGTCCATTGTCAAGTAATTCCACTTCTAAAAATCTATCCTAAAAACAAACTAGGCACAAAAATATTCATCACAGCATTATTTCCAGCCAATAATTAGTAAACATCTAAACTAAAAATGCAACAATATGCTGTATATATCCCCACTGACTGGAATTTTATGTAGTCAAAAGTACGACTATGTTAAGACTATGACACAATTAAGAGAAATGCTCACTATGTTTTAAGTGAAAAATGTAGAATACAACTGATTTTTACTCTGAATAAAAATATGTACAGATATACACATAAGAAAAACATAGGGGAGGGGGCGCCTGGGTGGCGCAGTCGGTTAAGCGTCCGACTTCAGCCAGGTCACGATCTCGCAGTCCGTGAGTTCGAGCCCCGCGTCAGGCTCTGGGCTGATGGCTCAGAGCCTGGAGCCTGTTTCCGATTCTGTGTCTCCCTCTCTCTCTGCCCCTCCCCCGTTCATGCTCTGTCTCTCTCTGTCCCAAAAATAAATAAACGTTGAAAAAAAAGTTAAAAAAAAAAAAAAAGAAAAACATAGGGGACCTATAACCTAAAAATACTATAAGTGGATAAATGGAAAGGGCAGTAATCTAATATTTTTCTTGTCTCCATTTTCATATTTTGGGGTGAAATGTCTGTATTACTTTTATGAAGGTAATTAAAATGAAAAGCAGGAACAAAGATTGATGTAGAAATTGTAGGTAATTCTTAGAACTGAAGCAGGAATGAAAGGAAAGCAGTGAATGGAAGACAAGCTTGTGTCCCCTGAGTGACTTTGTGAACCACATTGAACTAACACCAAGTGAACTGTCTCTGTAGCAAAGCTTATTTATACTGTCTTGAAGCTCTCTTTAGATGCATTCCTCAGAGAGGGATACATCTGTCTGTTCACTTATTTGAGGAAACTTTGTTGGAACAGGGTGATAATTAAGGAAAATTTTCTTTTTCCCTTTACTCATTGCTCTGATACTTCCTCTGTACTAGTCATTGTTTTACAGGCTCATTTATTTAAGATCTGTGGTATATCCTACTATACTGGCTATAAAGCACAAGACAAAACTATGTTGGTGGGTAAGGTTGATTAATAATTGTCACCAGCAATTATTTTCACTCCAATAAAACACATACCCACACAAATACACACACCCTATCACTACATCAAAGGGAGGTCTAAAATGAGTCTTTCCTGGAATAAAAAATCAAAAGCCAAAATCAAAGCCAATTCACTTATAATCAGTATACTTACATCCTCTGCAGAGAGCTATCAATAGAACCTATCAACTTTCAGTTAACCACAATTAAGAACAGGAGAAAAGGTGTAAGTAATATAAAATGAGTAATCCAAGAGTCACTCAGATATAAATTTGCAACACATTGAGATATATGTATAATCAAATGTTCAAACTGTAGCCCACTATATTCAGGACCAACTAGTTCCTTCCAATGCATCCCAACTGTTAGTGGCCAGAGATTAACCAAGGAGATGGCCCTAGGTTGCCATAGATATCTACAAGTGGATCCCACATGCAGGTAATTGCCCCCAGAATCTGCACTCTTAGAGATGCCACACTCTGGCTGTTTCCCACAGTTCCTAATAACCTTTCTACCATACAAGCCAAATAACAGGGCATTCAGACATTACTATTTATCATCAGTTCACAGCAGCTGATCTCCACTATATCAGTGGTTCTGAATCTGCTAATTTTTGTTGAAAATTTGGAACCCAAGCAATAAGATAATTAGATATAAATTGGGATAATGATATGAAGCTTGCTATATGTTCGTTTTGCCATAACTGGGCATTGTGGGAAACAAGTTAAACAGTTACTTACTAACCAAAACAGTTGACACTGATGCAGACAAACAAGATATAAAAATTGAGAGCAATACAGCAACTAAATAATGCTATTGTAAAACCCTATGCCACCATGGCTTTAGCCAATAAGATAAATGGTTTAAATCTTTCTAAGAACACCCTCATATTTCTAGGAGGGCTATAACATTCATGAAAAGTCTATGTCAGCTGCAAGAGCTCACTCTTCCTTTCCCCAATAGCCCTGGTGATGGACACTCCTTCCCTATGAGATCTATGAATGAGTCACAGAACCCACTGCTAGCAAATGAAGAGCCCTGGGAAGAAAATGAGGATGAAAACCGAGGTAAGTAGGCTCAGAAGGAAGTCTTTTCTCCACCTAGCAGACCAAACACCAATAAAACCATGTTAACGCAACCAATGTAGTGTAGTCAGAAAATAGTGTCCAAAAAGATTATATAAGCATGTCAACCGCATAAGTGACCTTTGGATAGAGAAGGAAAAGTATGGCCAGATTTGTTTAGCACATGTAGATGGCTTAGGTTGGATTAGATGCAAGCCTGGAAGCTTTCTTACCAGGTTTGTGATACCATGATTTATAACCAATGAGATAAGTCAAGAAACATAATAAACAGCGCTGTGTATATTTGTAAGCAATCCTGCCAGTTGGACACTCATGGTGATTTGCTTGAGTTAATTTAACCAGTGGGCGTCAGCTCACCTTTCTCTACCATAATTTGTTCATACTGGTTAAATTTTCTTTAAAATCTCATTCCCATTCTCCTTTAGACTGATTTACATACACAAAGAAATAAAAGATGTATACGTGGGCAAGCCTACACATGGATGTAGTCTACTTTTATAAAAGGCAGAGCAACAAAGGAAAAATGAGGAAGTAGAACTTTGTCCTTCCACCTTTCTCCCACCATATTTTTTGGATCATAATGAGATTTGTGTGTGTGTGAAAAGCTGATAGTTAAATTCTCATGTCACATACCCCTACCATCACCTGTTCTTTGTCTCCTCGTGATGTTATGCTTACTACTGTGCCTGCAGTATCTGTTTATGTTGCCAATACCAGGCATCAGAGAGTAATATTTAGTGGCTAGTCCCAATAATTCAATAGCTGAGAAAATTTTTGAGTTAAAATTATAATACGTGTCAGAAATTGGGGTGAATGAGGCTGATGAGGACATGGAAAGGCAATGAGATGAGGAGCAGAGATGGGAAACATGCCTTTCTAAAAGTTTATAGTTAGAATATCTAGTCCCAGGGTCTCTACCTGGAAGTCTGGTTTTATTATTTATTTTTTCAATATATGAAGTTTATTGTCAAATTGGTTTCCATACACCACCCAGTGCTCATCCCAAAAGGTGCCCTCCTCAATACCCATCACCCACCCTCTCCTCCCTCCCACCCCACATCAACCCTCAGTTTATTCTCAGTTTTGAAGAGTCTCTTATGCTTTGCCTCTCTCCCACTATAACCTCTTTTTTTTTTCCTTCCGCTCCCCCATGGGTTCCTGTTAAGTTTCTCAGGATCCACATAAGAGTGAAAACATATGGTATCTGTCTTTCTCTGTATGGCTTATTTCACTTAGCATAACACTCTCCAGTTCCATCCATGTTGCTACAAAGGGCCATATTTCATTCTTTCTCATAGCCACGTAGTACTCCATTCTGTGTATAAACCACAATTTCTTTATCCATTCATCGGTTGATGGACATTTAGGTTCTTTCCATAATTTGGCTATTGTTGAGAGTGCTGCTATAAACATTGGGGTACAAGTGCCCCTATGAATCAGTACTCCTGTATCGCTTGGGTAAATTCCTAGCAGTGCTATTGCTAGGCCATAGGGTAGGTCTATTTTTAATTTGGGGGGAACGTCCACACCGTTTTCCAGAGTGGCTGCACCAATTTGCATTCCCACCAACAGTGCAAGAGGGTTCCCGTTTCTCCACATCCTCTCCAGCATCTATAGTCTCCTGATTTGTTCATTTGCGCTACTCTGACTGGCGTGAGGTGATATCTCAGTGTGGTTTTGATTTGTATTTCTCTGATGAGGAGAGACATTGAGCATCTTTTCATGTGCCTGTTGGCCATCCGGATGTCTTCTTT